GCAGTGACCCCCACCCTCCCCCCCCCCCTAAAAAAAGAAAAACTGCTACCTTGAATGTTGCGCACAAGCTCAAACAGTTCGGAAAGGGGGCGGGGGCAACTTTACTAACAATAATACGACTAGCTCATTGTTAAAAATATAGGTAGGGTTCCCAATAATCTCCCTCATTCTTCTGTAACTAGATCTACTTAAGATTTAATCGGTTCTTTCATGCACTGTAAGAACTGGTGTCTGAAATGTTATAGTTAGGCGCCTCGCTATCTTACACAGAAGACGAGAATTAAATCCCTTTATGGAGAGCATTTGTATCAAGTATCTTCGTCTTTCTTCTGTTATAGTATCCCTCACAGCTCGGGTTGGCCCTTTTCAGACAATGTCGAGGTAGCCCGCTTCCTAAATGATCTAAATTGTGTCGACGGGGACGTAAAGCATCTGCAATTTAAGAAAGAAACGTTATGATTATTTCTAAGAGATGGGACCTCCAAGAATTATCGACTGTCTCCAGTTGGGCTGATCCGAGTATGCAGAGGGCCAGGGTGCGCCCGGAAAAGACACTCCAATGAATGATTGTAAATTTTAAAATGTAATAAGACCCAGTCGTTTCAAAATAGATCATAGAAGCTGGACTACTTCCACTCTTCCTGTCACGGCCCACCGGGACTGACAGGGATACTTTCTCCAAGGAGACAGACAGAGTCGTGAGAAAAAGACGTCTTCGCTAACTCTGGAATCGAAATCATGTCTTTTGTGTGCAACGGCGCAGAGCCTAACCTCTACACCCCAAACACCTGCATACGTCATGACAATACTCTCTGGCGTGTGGAAAGGTGGTCGGTACTCACGAAGCTGACTCCCCGACGCGGAAGTGCAGGGTTCGAGACTCCCCCCGACCCGTGGCGCTCGAGGCGTTGAGTCCTGTCAGAGGCTCCTGGAGCAGGTGGGAGTAGCGGCCCATGTGCATCAACATCTCCTGCATCGCCTGGGGTGAGAGAGACAGAGAGAGAGAGAGAGAGAGAGAGAGAGAGAGAGAGAGAGTGTGTGTGTGTGTGTGTGTGTGC